ATAGTGATATGTGGGTGTTTTTGACAATTAAAGTTAATGTTTTTGCACATTTTTAAAGGGTTGCTACGACACAGCTAATATGCAATCTAAAATGTTCAGTAAACTAATGCTTTGTAAAGAATTTCAGCATTAAGTATGTGGATATATTTCTTCACTTGAATAACTTTTTTCAGATGTCTACAATTTAGTGAGTAAATACATCTTTGTCAGAAGTTTTTTAATACCATCCATAAAACTGTTATTTTGCATCATAAATGACAAGAATGGAAGTGACACCATCCCTCTTCCCTGACAGTGGCGCATCTCTACTAGCTGCCACATTTGCTCATTAAAAGTGAAACATGTCCTCCACTTTTATTGCACATAGTTATGTGTGGTAATCACCTTGATGCTGAATACTTTCACAGCTAACAGCCACCTGAACCTGTTTGCTTGAAACACAGAATAGACATTTTTCATAACTTATGCTATGTTTCTAGGTTTGTCAGCACCATACCCGTGCTCGTGGGTTTCACCGTAGTGGTAAACGTCTGAGACCTGCATCACTTCGGGCTTTCCTCCCACATTAAGCTGACATGCCGCGATATGACTGGAATACTGTTAAAAGCGGTGTTAAACCCAACTCACTCACTCACTCAATTTTAACTTGATTTTTCAAAATGAAATGACCTTGTCAGTTTTCACTTTATAAGAAATATCACTGTATAATGATGCTTTTATTTTTAATACATTTCTTGAGATTTTATTTGATAATACGCTTTGTAAAGAGTAGTTATCTGTCACCTGAATCAAAGGCCTTTTGAAAATCTACAACGCAAGTGTATCATTTTTTCTTTTTACTTTTTGTAGAATCTATTAATGTTTTAAGAACGAATACATTATCTATTGTTTGGTAGCCCTTCCTAAATCCAGACTAACAGTGGTCTTGTAATTGATTTTTTTCTCTGTGTTCCATTATTCTTTTATTAATAACCATATAAAAAAGTTTACCCAAGCAGCTGCGTAGTGCAATACCCCTGTAGTTGTTTGGGTCAGTCTTATCACCTTTCTTATGTAATACAGTGATAACTGAGGTTGCCCATCTCTGTGGGAAGTGACCAGTATTTAATATCATTAAACAGTTTAACCAACTGGTCTATCAATCAACTAGATATCAATTTTAAAAGTTCATTACTTATGTTATCTTTGCCTGGGCTTTTGTTTGTTTTAAATTGTTTTATACAAGTGAGAATTTCATAATCTGACATTGGTTTATTAAGACTGTCACATATATGCGTATCTCCATGTTTTGATGAATTTTGTAGAGGATTCGGAGACAATATTTTTGTTTTGGCATTGAAAATATTCTTGAAGTGGTTTGTGAGCTCCTCATGATCAGGATAAACAGATTCCTTCTTGGATGAAGTTCTAAGTTTATTTAATACTATCCAGAATTTTTCTGGTTCCTTTTTCTTAAGGGTTTCCAGTTGTTCTATTTGATTTATACACTAGTTGTTTTCTTCTGAGTAATTTCTTGTATTGTTTTTTGGCTAAAAGAGCCCTATTTGTAATTGACATATAGCTTTCTTTATTGAGCTTGTGATATTTTCCCTCCATATTATGTTTTGCCTCTTTACATTCAACATCATACCATTGATTTTTTGGTACATTTAATTTATTTTTGCGAGATGTTGACAATTTGTTGACAGTTTGTAATATATCAGAGAAGGCATCAATGAGTGCTTCACATTCAGAACTATCTTTTGGACTGGAGGTTAACATAATATTGTTTAAGACAGTTTGAATATTTAAGTCGAAGTAGCATGTTTAACACACGAGTGACTGTTGGAGTGCAAGCCTCGCCTACCCCTGTCTTTAATGAAGGTTAGATTTGTGGCCTTATTAATGTTTTGGTTCATTTTGTTGAGTTGATCTGTGGTTACAGATAGTTTAAGGGATAGCTGGCAGTGATCTGATAATCATGTTAATGGTTTTATGTTGAAATATGAAATATTTTGGTAGATCAACAACACTGTGACCATTATATGTGTGACATGTAAAATTGCCAAGGCTGTTGTCACCAATAGTTCGCCTGATCAATATTATTAGTCAACAGCATGTGGCTATATCAAGGAACGATTTCCCATAATAATTGGTTTTAACATCAAGACTGCATCTTGGGGTTTATACAAATGTATGTCTAAAGTTTTATCACTTGGTAGGCCTTGCAGGTGATCTATGTTTGTATTATCAATACATTCATCCTCGCATGCTGTACGGGCTTTAAAGTCCCCCCCAAAAAATTATCTCACCTAAATTAGAAAATTAGATTATTTCTTTAAGGAGGATGTCAAATGGATCAATATCGCATTCTGTCAAAAATGAGGACCTTTCCGGCGGTATGTAAATGGTACCTATATAAATATCTCTCTCAGTGCAACATAATTGTCTGTCTATTTTCACCTAGAGAGCAAAGGAGCCAGATGACATAACTTTTCCATTGTGTTTAAAGTGGTTTTACAGAGGTGGGCTATTCCACCTTGACTACTGTGTCCTCTACTATGTTTTCCAGATACACTCACGGTATGAAATCCATGTAAGCAAACATCACTTTGGTTTTCCCTTGTCTCAGTCATACCATGGAAGTCGTAGTTTTTCAGTTTGTCAAACAAATTAGGACCCGTGAAGATCTGGTGTAGAATAGGTCTTCAGCAACCCATGCTTGCCGTTAAAGGCAACTATGCTTGTCTTAAGAGGTGACTATCGGGATCGGGTGGTCAGGCATGCTGACTTGGTTGATGCATGTCAAAGATCCCAAATGCGTGGATTGATGCTCATGATGTTAATCACTGGATTGTCTGGTCCAGACTCGATTCTTCATACAGACCGCCATCATATAGCTGGAATATTGCTTGAGTGTGGTGTTAAACAACAAACCAAGCAAAACATACAAATCAGTGTCTTTTGTAGGATTGAGTCCTTGTATGTTCCAAAATGAAAAGTTAATATCTATCTAGATATACACTATGGATATATAGCATGTGATGGTCTATTTGTCCTATCTCTTAATCCAGTATTTGTGATGTGGGCACTGTCACTGGTAATAGGGATGTAATGTTAGCGTAACGCTATGAGTGGACAGCTGCAGTCTGCAGACACATTTTTCTTTTCTGGTCTTCCAAACTTCACATGCAGGATCAACAGTTTCAAATATGAAGCAGTTCAAGAACACCACCATATTTGGAAAATTCAGTGTTATTCTCATTTGCATACCTGTAGTTAGTTGCTGTTTGTTTATTATGTTTTGGTGGGAAGGTTTTACATGTATCAAAGACATGTTAATGTGCAGTGTATTCTCCAGGAGCGGTATGGACCAGCACAAGTGAAAGCTGTGTGCCATTCTGACTTAGCTAATCTCATTACACGATGGCCTGAATAAAAGTGGCACTGCTTTAAACCAACAATAAAGATGTCAAGACTTAAAGAGGTTAATTCATTGAATTAGATCAATCAGCTCGCTACTCTTGCAGTAATTTCAAAGGATAATGAAATGATGATATCCCAGGACCATTTGAGTGACGATATTTCAGACATAATGAAATGATAGTTTGTAGAACATTTGCAATTATATGGTTTCAGCCCCGCAACCAGTATGTGAATAATTGCGTTGACTTTTGTCTAACGATCAGCCATGACACCTTGCCCCTAATGAGCCCACTGCGAACATGTCGCTCTCAAAATTTAGTCGTAATTTGAGATCTTCTGGGGTGCTGTATCCCAGAGTCAACGCAAGCCTCCTAAAATTAATGGAGATTCATGCTTCAAATTTTATATCATTTGCAGTCAGTGTTCGGAACTGTTTGTGGAGTGTTTTCAGTAAATTTGTTTCACGTGATAATAATTTTGATGGACTGAATATGAAACAAGACACAGAAATGTGGAGCTGTTGACTGGAATATTTGATGTGACTGAGACTGTAGGATTTGTCACATTTCTAGTGTTGACTTATCATTAATAAATGATTGAATATGCAGGAGCCCTTCAACTCACATTTACGTTATCATATTTCACACTCTTAGCTTGGTTACAAAAGCTAGATTTGTTCGGGATCAATTGTTTTGAGAGTGCACTCATATGGTTTAACTAAATATCTAATAATATGAGGTTTGTCTTTTCTTTTGCAACAATCTAATTTTTTTTAAATTGATATTGTACTGGGACATAGGTTTACTGATTGAAATGTCACTTTGTAACTTTATTCTCTTGTAACATTAAATATTCCTGTATCTGGAAGTATTGCTGACATAGCCATATTCCAGTTAACTCCTTGTGTTGTCAGACAGAAAGGAAGCGTAGCAGCGTTGTAATGCTTCTAGAGGGAGTGGAGGGGGGAGCTGGTTGACATGAAGCTTTCTAGCATTCATTCACAAATTGCCGGGGAAACTGTGGGTTTGATGAGGGGTGTCGTGTTACCACACATCTCTGCATCCTGCTGGAGGAAGGACAATCTCCCTCCATCTCTTCCTCCACCTTCAGCCCTTCCATTGCACTGTGCTGGTGAAGTCTCACAGGATTTGCCGCTCTGGCCTCGGGCTACTCTCTGTGCACAGCTTTCCTGCCTAGCCAAGCAGAAACTCTCTCACTTCTGTAGTCTGCAACCTCAAGTCTCATTATAAGGTGCACAAAAGTTTATCACATTTATATTTTTCAATTTATAAGTTTTGTTTCTCACCAATATGTGTTGAAGTTTAGCCCCTGTCCTACACAGGCATGGGGAGCATCTGCCAGATGTGTGTTGTGATGACAGGCACTATAGTGAGGGATATGGCAGCATACTGTAGTTTCCATATGGTTGCTATTCTGTCAGGATTAACAGCTGGGATGCCTTCTACACTTCATTCATAAATCCCTGCCCAGTAGCAGGTGGGTGGAGCTATGCAAGAATTATGTTAATGAGCTGGTTGGTCATTGGATGTCAGTAAAGTGTGATTTTTAGAGCTGCCTGTTGATTGAGGCTTCATTCATAACACTAGTAAGTGTATTGTGAGAGAGTATGGTAAGGTTTTTGTGCGATAAGCCCAGAGAACTGTCGCCTGGCCAGTGTAGTGGAAGTATTGCCAGGCTACTGTGTGTGATCAGCCTCACAAATCCACCACACAACATTGCAGACCAATGATAACTCAGGGGAATTTGATGAACTGTATATCAAATGTGATTAGATTTGGAAGCACACTTACATGCTGTCATGACATTTGGAGTTGCATTACTAGAAGACCCATCACTGACTAGCTAGCTACTGTCACTAGTGTTGGCAACAACCCTTCCTACTGTCCACCTTATCAGGACATATTTCATAAGAACTAAAGTTCCAATTTCCAAGCCAGTCAAGGATCTGCCAGTGAAAATAGTTAGAAATTTCTGTATTTGTTCCTGTGATTTGGTGAGGACCTGCCGTGTGCGCCATTCCTGATGGAGTTGTAGTGTATTGTGTAGCTGCTGAAGGACTAGTATGATCACCCCCGGTACAAGCCCTGCCACAGCGGCAGCCAGTATGATTCTCCCACGGAGCAACTACTACTCCCATCTCTGGGCCCCTCACCACCGCCACCATCATCTACATTTACATTCAGGCTTGAGACATGGTAAGTTACCTTCATAGCCTTGAAGCAATAAGTCCAGGGTGTGTAGGAACTAATATTTAGGATGATTTAATTGTAATCAAGGTTCTGTACATCTTTGTGAGTTGTAGTTAGTTTTCTTTACCTTAGACATCATGTTTAATCTAAAAAAATTGAATTGAAAAAAACTCATGAATTTATTGTTGGGAATATTGCCAAACATTTTCAAATAAGACAATTAGTTTTGTTAAAAAAAGACTGATAAAGTTTTGTATGCCATTATTGTTACAGAATATCCCGGCAAACATTGTAGATACAGATATAGAATAATTTTAGCAAAAGGGAAGTGGAGCCTTATTGTTCAGGAAGAGCATGCATCTTAAAAATGAATTTATGACATTTATCAATTAATTGTTTCTGAAACAGCAGTTTAAATTCAGCATGAGCTTGAAATGTAAGGTTTGCTGCTGATTTATGCTGACAACTTGAGGCCTAGACAATTACACCAAACTCCTCAGCAATTTCTTCAATGTGCTGTTGTCAAGAAATAATGACATAAAAGAAGATGATGGGCTTTTGCATGGTCCTACTAGTCTTGAGAGAATAAAATAACCCACTAATGTAGGATATTGTGATGTTATATCAGTTGAAGCGGTGCATTAATAAAACTTCCTTATTTTCTTCTGAATGGAATGGTGTGGTGCATGTCTGAAAATTGTAGCCCTGACAGCTTCAGACAACCCACAATAGATTGTCAGAAAAAGCATAACAGTAAATATTTAAGCTTTATTTGCATCATTAACTATAATGGACAAATTTTCCCTTTTCTGCGGAAAATTGTTGCTAATGCAATATTTCCTTAGGCTACAAAAAAATAATTTATAAACTGAAATTTGATGTCGCCAAATGATGCATTTAATGTGTTTTCGTGTTCTGAGCATTTTGGTGAAGTAAGAAAGCAGGCCCAGGGAAGGCTTTCAAGAGTGTTAATTTCCCAGATAAACACCAGTTCCTGTTCTTGTTTTAAATATGCCAGAAAATGGAAAAATTGTTTATGATAGTTAATGATGTTTTGGGTGAGGATGTCAGCCGAGTTCTGTGTTACAGAGATTCGACTGCGAGATAACAGGAGATGACCTGAATACACAGATCTAAACCTTCTTGTCACTTCCAATACAAAGTCAATGTTGCTAACTGTATACTAACTGGTTGATGTGAACACAATTGGTTCTTTCCCATATCTACTGCTTGTACGTGTTGACTAAACTTAATCTAGTTACTAGCATCATCCAAACCAATATTTAAAAAATGCAATTGAGGTACTCTTTTCACTAAATAAAAATAATTTTCTTTGAATTGAAAAGTACTTGTCTTTCTGCAATGGCTGATACAGGTGCATTTACCTTACCAATGTGTAGTGAACTTATGCAAAATGAGCACCGACCTGAAATTCCTGTCTGACTTTACACAGGGCAAACCAAGATGAAAATGACAGAATCATGAATGTTACTTGAATGTCAGTGGGAAATGTAACTATTTATGATTGTATAAGAAACTTATTATACATTTTTTCTTTTTCTTTTGTTATAATGCTTTTCTTCCAAATATTTTTGACGAGTTGTCGCTAATAAATATAGTTGAAATCACCACATAACTCTGAAATTATATAATGAGTAATCAAATCTGAACCAACGTTTTGAGGAGTATATTGTCATCCCATTCAAAAAGCCTGAAACAATTAGTTTGCAATAATCTACTAATTAGAAGCAATTAGCCAGTGTGTACTTCCTATAGTATACTGGCCCAGTCTGACATCTGAGCAGTCATGCACAACTTCTCAATTAAGCAGAATTCACATAATGACCCGTCTAATTGTTGCATGTCTACAGCAAGTTGACAATCTGAGCCTTGGGGGGATGCAGGGGACACTCATAGCTTTGTTTTGTGATTACTGTAATGATGAAGTTAGCCATTTGACACCCTCAGTGTTGACGCTATATGTAATTGTTTTCCTATCCTTAAGACATTGAGAAAAGAGATTTATTTAACACAATCAGGATTTGTTTCTGTAACAGATATTGGTCATTGGTAGGTAAACTGTGAATGTTAAATCTGTATACAATTTTCTCAATTACTTTATTTTATTATATACACTTGATGGCATTAGAGACTATTTCAGGATATAAATATAAATGCAATGTTCAAGAAACGTTTTCATGGGTAACATAAAAAGAGTTTTTGGATAGTAATAAATTATTTGACTAGGTACATCATTTGTCTTTATTGATGAGGGGCGTCGAGTTAAAACAATGTTTGCTATGTGTATTGAAGTGTTGAACTCTAGTCTTGTAATGGTGAGAATTCCATGCTTGGCGGTGCTGCTGTTGAAGGAGAGTGTAAGTAGAGGAGAATGGTTGGGCCTGTTGACATAGCTATGTGTCATGTACAAGAGGCAGGGGAACAGTCTTTTTCCAGCAATATACAAAACCATTACAATTTGTCATGCTTGTTAGAAAAGCATTACAGAAGCGTACAGAGAAACACGAGTCTCATAATCAACATTGCAGACAGCGTCTCATGTTAGCCGACCAGATATATTTGGGGATATGCCCTGAGGTTCTCATGTCATAGATTCTAGATTATTATATTTTCATATTAATTTAGAGGGGAAACACACACACGGAGTTACCCATGTGTGAGTACTTTCATTATGTTTTTGATATTCATACATTTTTCAACAAAACATTTCAATCCTATAAAAAGAACATATCTTGTAGAATTTTAGACATGACGTTAAATCTTTACTCCAACTTATGTGACCTACCAATACAGTATCTACACTAAGTGTATGCTGCCAGACACCTTGTGATATATATGAACTTTTACATACCATGAATGAAAATAATATGTAACATCTCTATATTTAAATTATAATGAACATTATACATACCTACCTTTCATATAGTTTTATTTATTCCTATATGTAGATAGTTTGTACCCTGCCCTACGAGGGTGTTCTGTACAATAAACATTCTTGATTCTTGATATACAGTTAGTGTGTAGATTTCATTAGCAGTTGTATCCTCAGTGTTAGCATGTTGCCAGACCATTGTTACCATAATGTTCAATAGTTATATATAAACTTGGCCCCTTAGGCAGGTTCTTCTGTATTTGTTCATACAGAAATCAACATTGATTTTACTTCTTGTAATTAGACCAACAACGCATATTTGTATGAAATATCCTTGTGTATCCACCAAGAGGTAATATGGATGGTGAAATCTGGTTGTTATCAAGTTTTAAGTGCAGTGTATTGCATCACTAAGTGATCCACTGTGAGACCATATCAGACAGATTAATACTGCCAGTACCTAACTACAAGGCTACAAGTTTCACAACCCCAGGGGTGGTTCTCACCCTTAAGAAAACATGTCTTCAAAGATGCAACAGCCAATCTTTCACAAGCCCCTACCCCCCATAATGAGTATCTTAAAGGGGCAATTACATCTCCCAGTTAGCTGAACACATGGGGCTAATTTCTGAGTGAAATCCTCCTGGTTATGCTGGGTCTTTGTGGTGTGAGAGGTGACACACAGAAAGAGTGTTATCTGAGGGTTGCGGGGAGGATGTGATGAAATACACCAAAATTGCCTTCATGATGCAGCGCTTCTTAAGGAATATGTCAACATGTATTTTCTGTGCTTGAATGATATTTACTATTGACAGCTATGTCTGCCACAGTTGTCTGAGAGTTTAATACTATTACAATCCATATTTTCCCCAGAGTCTTGGATTTTGTCCTGTCATTATGTATCATCCTCAGTCTCAGTCACATGCACGAGTCTGCAGTCACTGTCCTCTTCCAATACAATGTTGGTATAGTCTAAACAATTAGATGCTTCATAAATAACACATATTCATAAGACTTACCTGTAAGAATACACAGATGATTACCAATGCAATTATAAAGTTTCCCAGCATTAAACAAGTAAACCTTTTTTCAGCTTTTTATCAAGTATGCACAAGTCCACATTGTCTGAATAAAGATCAGTTTTAGCTAAAAATAGCAGATTCATAAGCAGGACATAGAAACATTTCCCACCTTGCATCATTTTCAAAATGGTAGACCTGGTTTGACCTTTATTTAACAATAATTTGGTCATACATTATTATCCATTTTGCTAGTTTTGTTTCACTTTCTACATTCATTTGTGAAAAAATGGAAATATATTTCTCGATGCCAAATGAATTTTCCATAAAGGAAATGATTAACAGGTGCATTTGGCCCATGTGTTGTTGATTGTTGGTGACAGTTTTATCCCTTTATGTAGTGAGGGAAGGAGAATAGGCAGGCAGTGATACATGTCCCTCCTCTGGCAGCTTAAATGGCTTTTGTGACTGGGATGATTTCAACAGCCTGGGAACCAGCCAGTAGCCACTGCCAGCTTCACTCAGGCAGAAAATGGAGGCAATAGCCGTGTCCAGATTGGTTGCCAAGTGTAAATAATGTGTGTTCATAGTCAACACGAGGATGCATACAACTATAATAGCATGTATATACTGATGAAAAGGTGGCAAAGATTTACATAAGTTTCTTGAAGGAAGCAAAATATGTTAATTTGGTATATCTGTCAGAAATGCAACTTTTTTAAGAGAAATAAGTAAGTGAAATACATTTTTTTCATATTTACACTGAAATAGACTTTGGGGAGAAATGGCAAGTTGTATGTTATTGTGTAGGAATACTAATTTCTGGAAGACAAGCATCAACATCCCTAGGTGGTGTTGAAAAGATTGTGGGTAAATGTTATGTTTTGGATGTTTTGATATGGAACAGACTGAGCACTTGTAGAACCTGGCAAGGATTTGCCCAGACTCCAATCAGATGCACCCTCCTCCTCTCTCCCCCCCCCCCAGCCTTTTCCCTTCAATCCCTTCCTTCCCCCCCTCACCCCCCATATCCAGCTGCCTCAAGCACCCACCTTTCATTCATCCCCCTCTATAGGTCGTAGGTCAAGGAGCTGCATTCTCATTGGTTACAGTTCTGATCCCATATCCTTATATGGCAGAGAAGCATTAGTAAGCCCTGTCCATTCACCCTGGTGGATGTAAGCCTACGGCTGGCCCTGTTGTTCTCTGGAAATACACCACTCTTCAGTTTTGACTTTGAAATAACCCTTATAGATACAATTAATAAAACAATATCAATTAGGAAAACTTTTCGATGTTGTAATATTTATTGCCCACTCATTATCAATAAATATTTGTGTGTGCAAAATAATGTTGACTATATTTAAGGAAACGCCAACAATGAGGAGTTTCTGCTACATCTGTTGTTTATTGCTGGTGCAGTAGTGCTGTTTTCCCTGCTAATGTAGGTCTTCTGCATCAGCTAGGTAAATGTTGGCTCTCTACTTCCACAGGCATTAGATCAGCCAACATAGAAAATGTATTGATCAGCAATAATGGCTTGCACGCCATAGTTTTGTTTGTCAGGCTTTTGATGGAAACGGAAAAATATTTGTTCTGTATATTCATTGTTCATGGGAACAAACGGTACTTGGCTTGAAGGGTTTGGGCATTATTGTCCTGCATTGGGGTAATTCACAGAAGAAATTACCAAGACAGTAGAAATCTATTGTGAACATTAGTGACTTAATTTCGTCAACCATCTAAGAAAATAAATTGCCAGAAAATAGATGGAAAAAAAAAGAAAGTGTTTTTACAGTATGTAGTCATGTTTTCTCAGTAAAGTAAGGCACAGCATTGTGATTGTGATGTAGTGGTGAATCTGGATAGTGAGTGTATGTTGGTTTAGGACTTTGGTGGCCATGTTCACAGGGACAGATTCCTATGAGTGAACATCATTTATTCATTTATCTATTGTTATGATTAATGAGGAGTCTTTAGAAATAATGAATGACTATAGTTCTGATCTGTATTTGGTGTTGGAGTAAGCTATTGCTGGTGTGGCAGTGGTTGGGCAGCATTGGGTGGTTGACCGGGTCATCCCGGATGACAACTGGCCAGTACACTGGAGGAGTTTTCCCATGACCACTAAGTAATTAATAACCCACGGCCGTGGTAATGTTGCACAACCTGCTCATCCACGACATGTTGCAACAGTATGTCAGTGAGGTATATTTGGGAATTGATTTGTTGTGATTGATGGTGCTGCTGCCAGTGAATTATATACTTGACAGTTGCTGTCACATCAGAGGATTGAAGTAGGCAGTGACAGGCTCGTTCCAGGCCTGCCGTTTTGGCAGGTCTACGTTTTGGGAAGATACTGTTAGTAGTATTATGATTAGCCAGGCAGAAGGTGTTATATATGTGTATTGTGGAAACTAGGAAAGTTTCACTAATGTGCTTCTGTCTTCTGGAACAAGAACAAGATTATTACAATATGCTTTATGAAGTTATCAACAGTTAAGTATGAAGAACTTGTTTATGAAAACATTTCATGAGAGAAAGGGTGTGTCGTGTATGACTGGTGAAGTTTATTGTTTATGGCTGACTTGCCTGTAGTTGAGGCGGTCATTGGGCGATGGAGGGTGTGTAGGAGCCAGCTGCTACTACATCTCCTCCTGTATCCAGTCTGCTAGCATTTACTGCAGTGTCTACATAGATCAGATGAGATGAGGGATGGAAGCCTTGAGCTCCTCACTTCTCCAGTTCAGAGCCTAGCCACCAAGGCTGTTCCCTCTATATCAAGGCTGTGTTGCTGCCGGTGAATGTCCTGATGGGATGACAACTTGCAGCTCACCTTGTCATGCACCATGGCCCTTCCTTCAGCTACATCAGGTGTCTTCCACACATGGCCAGCCACACATCCCGCCTGATCACTTGGGCATATCTTGCACAGCTGCTGGCAACTAACCACCAATTAAAGATAGACAGGGAAATTTAAAATCTTAATGAGCCCTTCTGTCTTACTTGACATCCTATGCCAAATGGTCCCAATTTACATTTAGAAAAAGCATGCCTGCCTGTCCCATTTTCTCATCCCATCTCAGGGACTAGGGTTTATTTTTTTATTTTCAGAGGGTTCATGTTAATTAATATGTCCGCCTTCGTAATGCAGATATTAGGAATTTGAAATGATTTCAATCACTGAGTAACATGTTTTCAAGTTATGATAATTTTCCTATTATGATTATTTTGAATCAGTGTGCACTTTTTGTTGTGAGACTTAGGTTTACTTCCTGTAAGGTGCGTGAGGCAGTGCGTAGGTACAGTTGGTTCTTGTGTTGTTTATATTTGCAAGCTTTCTAAGTGGAGTCCCTGAGGCCCAGGCTCACATCCGTGTAGTGCACCGGCCCGCAATGGCTTTCACAGAGTCCCCTAGTTATGAATGGCTGAAGTCGGAGTGAAACCCCAGATGCGGAAACTCTTCTGATTGGTTTTAAACCTGTCCGTGCTTAAGTTGATTCATATGGGAGAAAAAGACAACTGACAACTACCACTGACAGGAGCCAGATCTCACTTAGAATTAAATACAAATGTGTTTTTTTGCAAAATACAGATTCTGAAATAATATGTTTAAAAATATATCCAGGCAGCCAGAAACATTCAGCATAATAATGGTTCACCGTCTAGTTACATACTTTATTACAATTCTTCAATAACTTTTTGTCCTCTAAACTGAACACAAATTTGTATACTAATTGCAAAACAAGTTTCCATTCATCTCATAGAAGCCTAAGAAATATGTATTGGTGCGAGGTGTTATGGAAAGTCCGTGAATTACGTGCAGCATGGGGTACTTGCCTTTCCCCACCTCCTCTCCACCTTCCCAGCTGTCGTGTTCTGTTACCTTATGTGTTGGCCATCTTAACCATCTTCCTTCTCAACATCTAACAGTCTAACGATGGCTCCCTAATTACTGTCAATTAATGCTAATTAGATTTCCATCCCGAACCAGGGCATGGGTATAAAATGTAATTACTGGGAGTACTCTTTAAAGATTTGTTTACAGCCATTTGTAAACGGGGTCAGTTTGTGCTTATGGTGCTGTCTGTAGCTTGATAGATGGGCATGCACACAGGAGAGGCTGAGAGAACAGTCTCACATGTGTTGAGCATCACTCTCAAATCAGGGCTCAACCTACACTAGTGATTTTATGTGAAACTTACTCCCTCTCACACATCTTTATAAGCTTGTTTCTATATATACAAATATTTCTTTTCAAACCAATCGATTTTGCTTGTAGTGAACTCAGATTTTGACAAGATCCCATGTTTGTAGTCCAGTGTTATTTTGTACATGGTGATATTATAGAAGGACTTACAACTATTTCATAGCAACATTACTAATTTCATTATCGTATTGTTAGGTAAATAGCAGACATTTTTGTGATTTATGTTTTTGTGGATATAAAAGCAATTTCTGCTTTGTTTTTTTCTGTTGAGTGTGTACCCGTGAAGCCCATTTTGTTTGAATTGTCTGCTACCAAAGGACCTGTTTCAGGTGTGTAACTGCTTGTTTGACTGAGACAGTGTGCTGTATGATGTGTGTTTGTTTCAGACCTACCCTCCTCTCAAGTCCCCCCTCTCACCCCCGGCACCACACAGAAGATGTCACAGGCCCTAATAGAGAGCTTCAAGGCTTTTGAGAAGGAACAAACTCGACTCAATATTCCAAAAGGTGAGCCATTGTTAGCCAGTTATCTACAGCGCTGCAATCAGATAGGGATATAAGCTTCTTCAAGAAAGATGATAGACTGTTCATCAAGAAAGGAAAAGTATACTTATTTTCACAATAAATCTTGTAATATTTTAGATATGTTCAGTGTTATAGTTTCCTTCCTGTTCAAGAATTCAATACATTGGTGGAAAACTGACATTTGTTGAGGATAATTAGATATTCCACTGAAGATTGGATTCATTTTTATAAGTATTAATAATTAATCACCATATCTGGTTCTGATTTGTTGAAATTCACAAGGATATTACATTTTAATTGGCAAGGTATCAAAGTGTGTTACAAATTATGTAATTGAAATCAAAGCCCGACATTAAGCTTCCTGTATTAATATTTATCAATATCAAACAGTGGTTCAGTTTGGTGAGGACCATCAACAATAGCAGACAACAAAGACACAAAATGAAATTAACAGATTTTAGATACCTGTGACAATGAATTGTTTTCTATTACAATAATTTGAGCAATATCCCAAATTAGTGAGCAGATGATGGCAGTGATGTTTAGCATATAAAGGGCAGCCACCGCTATTAGGTGCCGTCTGTCTCCCAGTTACACCGGAAGTTTTTGATTTCCTGTTCGTTACATGGGAGACCCCAGGTCACTTGAATCCTGGCATATACACAAATTTCAGAGCAAGGTAAAATGATTGCAATTTAGTACCTGGTCACATGAGTCCATTTTGATATTAAAAAGGTGGACAAGAGGGATCTTCAGGGCACCTGATAGCTGCTGAGCATGCCTTTGCAAATAAATCCCCATAAAAACATAATCAATTGTAGGATTAGGGGATTGTTTTCCTTCCAATGTGGGCACAAGGGCACTGGCAATTCAGGGTACTCCATTTCAGTAATTGCTCACACTGTAACTGAGATATTTGCTTTTTGATTCATGTGAAATAAGTGATGGTGATTTGTATGCAGAACCTGGTGATGAGACTATTGCCTTGAGTTGAGTGCAGCAGGTAGAGGACTTAATTCCTCTTGTAGATGGGGGACAGGGGAAAGGGGAATGACCTTTTAACACTTACAATTCACTTTTGCAGATGGGACTGTGATAAGCTAAGATAATATTTATTGCAGAAAAGTTCCATTACGGGACAGATGCAATTTTAAAAGACAAAACATTATGATTCATATATACATCTATACAGGCATACATAATTTACATTCTGTTATAGATATTTCACTATTAATTTGTATATTGTTGAGCAGTATGATTTCTGTACAACTTAGTTTTATGGATGCAGATTATAAAATGCTGTTAAAGAGTGAAAGACTAATTAGCTGTAAGGACTTGATTACCTAACACTGGCATACTCCCCAGAGAAAAGCAGAAGAACTCATCCCTATAATTGTCAGCCAGCTATCAGCCTGGATGAAAGTCATAAAATATTGATGATGTGAGCTCTATTTATAGTTCAACTGTTGAACACCAACTCATTACCAATTAACGAGTCAATTTAGCAGAGCTGGTGTGGGTATATAAGATTGCCTGCAGCAGTGTGAAGCCAACACACCTTGAGTGTTTGAGCGGGAACACAGGGTGGAGTATTAGTTAGCTTGGTGCGGTAGTGGTGACAGCTGGGCTTTACTGACCAGGGCAACATGAGAGACTGTCTGTATGCTCAGCCTCTGCTTCAGGCAACTTGGGGTCAGTTGACACTGCATGTAGATCTTCAAGGAATAACTGTCACTTATTTTGTAACACCCCCCCCCCCCCCCCCAGGAATCTGTTAATCAAATTAGATCGTAACTCTGTGATTTTTGTAAGAATTAGTCAACTATATTGAATGTGTCCTTAGAAATGTATGACCTGGTATACGTGCATGCTGGGACAGTGTAGGTCTGTGTTTGACATAATGGAATTTATGTAAGCAATTATAACATGCTTCTTCTTCATGCAATAACCATATAGTGGGAGTGGGACATTCATATTTCCCATGGTGTGGGTTGATGTATATTCTGGTGTTTGTTGTAGACCCCATGCAGTGGTCCCCCCTCCACGTGGTGCAGTGGTTGAACTGGGCAGTGCAGGAGTTCAGTCTTGAGGGCATTAACATGGCCAACTTTGCTGTGAAGGGAGCCGATCTCTGTAAAATGGAAAAAGAGGAATTCCTTAGTCGCTGTCCACCATTCGTTGGTGATATCTTATGGGAACATTTGGACATTCTACAGAAAGGTAAATATGACATTTCTATGTACATGTAAGAGATTGGCTAAATAGAATGGATGTGTAAACAGTGTATGATGAATGGTTAAACTCCTATAAATGACATGTTGCCCTTGTTTCATGCATTGTGATTTGATGTGGCATTGTTTACTAGTTTTGATTACTGCTGTTGTGATATTGAATTGACCTCTTGTTGGTGTGTTGCCTGTTGCATTGTCAGTACATGAAAGAACAACACATAGTACCCCTCTGTGGCCACTACATCATGTGTACAAGTGTGTGTCATGTGTAGGCAGGTAGTGACAGTGCCACAGGGGACCTACAGAGGCAGTAGAGGTAGTTCACTGTTGTGTTGTGTTGTTGTGTTACAGAAGTTGCTCAAGAGAGGTCACTGTTGTGCAACGTACCACCAAATTACAGTGAGCCAGTATGCATGCCCGAGTTTGGTGAACGTTATCACCAGCACAATCAGCAAAGTAAGCATTTCATCTTCCTATCTACCTCTACCTCAGTCAAGTTCATAACAAAATACTTGTAACTTTTGAAAACAATTGCCTAGCTTTCAGATTAATTTCTCTGCATGCTTCTGTTACAAGTGAATAAATATGTACACTTGACAATGCAGAGCATATCCACATGCAGTGGTAGTAATGCATGTTATTGTGTTGCATTCAGTTGTTAGAGGTCTCCATGTTGCATGAACTAACACTGCTGCCACTGACAGTGCCATCAGCAAGATGAGTATAACAGTAATATTGCTGCATTATTTAATGGTTGGTTATAATACTGATATTGCCCTGCAGTTTCATCATCAAGTTGGTTATAACACTAATATTGTCCTGCAGTGTCATCATCAAGTTGGTTATAACACTAATATTGTCCTGCAGTGTCATCATCAAGTTGATTATAACACTAATATTGTCCTGCAGTGTCATCATCAAGTTGATTATAACACTAATATTGTCCTGCAGTGTCATCATCAAGTTGGTTACAAGACTGATTTTGCTCTGCAGCTTTGTCATCAAGTTGGTTATAACACTGATATTGTCCTGCAGTGTCATCATTTAGTTGGTTATAACATGGATATTATCCTGCAGTGTCATCATTTAGTTGGTTATGACACTGATATTGTCCTGCAGGTTACAGCAGCTCTGAGGGTGGCAGTGTCCCGCCAGTGTCCACGGCTCACAGCTACATGGAAGGTCAGTACATCCTGTCATTTGCAGAGAGAACAAGGAATTAGCACACCCCATTCCAACCCCAAATGAACCTATTCATGTCAAGAACAGTGTAATTTTAACATTGGATGATGTTCTTATCTGAAAAATGTTCATTGAAGAAACACCTGATCATTACATTGTTCATTTATTACTTAAAGCATTTACGTCAAAGTTGTGTGATTTTGTCAATATTCCAAGATCGATAGCTAGACAGATACATGTTGAGGTACTCAAGTGTTTATTATGTGGAACATTGTATTGCAGGTTCCTATCCGATCTCCGAGTCGCTGCAGACACTGAATGACATGAGCAGTGGAGGGGGAGGTGGGGGCAGCTATGAGGACACATCCGACTATCAGAGTCTGGAGCACAGCAGCTATTACGACCAGAGCCCTACTGATTTCTACCCCATGATGCCCGAGCAGAAGTTCCGCCCACCTGCCAGTCTACACGCCAAGAACCTATGTCGAGGTAGGACTTGTGTATTTACCATTGTTCACATCTCCAGGGATCGCATTTCAGAACACCTAAACTTACCCCTGGATCCATTCCCGTGGTTCTCGCAATCTCAAATTACCCACCTTTGATTTCCATTTGCCAATTGATTGGTACATTGGACCTAGTACTATAGCCAATCAGAATGCGAGTTACAAACCAGCTTCATCGTTAGGTTGGACAGTCCCATTGATTATGATCGAGTTTGCGAGAAATTCAACATTGATAAACTGACCATAATGTTGACGTTTGGTTAGTCAGTAAATGTTAATGAAAATCGAGGGTGGGTAATTTGAGATCGTGAGAACCACGAGAATGAATCCAGGGGCTTGGTTAGGTTTACCGAAATGCTAGCCCTCTGTGGAGACACAAATGAATATTGTAAGGTTCTGAATGTATGTAACATCGTTTCAAATACAAAAGCATGGTCAACTGCCTGTATGTACATGATGTATGGCAGCCGGCATGTACACCAAAGTCATTTAGGAACTGTTGCAATGTTACAAGCTGGTGGTGTATGATACCTCTGTTTTGTGTAACACTGTTTCTTCATTCCATGCTTAAGTATAACACACTGTTCCTTCCTACCTTGCTTAAGTATAACACACTGTTCCTTCCTACCTTGCTTAAGTATAACACACTGTTCCTTCCTACCTTGCTTAAGTATAACACACAGTTTCTTCCTACCTTGCCTAAGTATAACACACTGTTCCTTCCTACCTTGCTTAAGTTTAACACACTGTTTCTTCCTACCTTGCTTAAGTATAACACACTGTTTCTTCCTACCTTGCTTAAGTATAACACAGTTTCTTCATACCTTGCTTAAGTATAACACAGTTTCTTCATACCATGCTTAAGTATAACACACTGTTCCTTCATACCATGCTTAAGTATAACACACTGTTCCTTCATACCATGCTTAAGTATAACACACTGTTTCTTCCTACCTTGCTTAAGTATAACACAGTTTCTTCATACCTTGCTTAAGTATAACACAGTTTCTTCATACCTTGCCTAAGTATAACACAGTTTCTTCATACCATGCTTAAGTATAACACACTGTTCCTTCATACCATGCTTAAGTATAACACACTGTTTCTTCCTACCCTGCTTAAGTATAACACACTGTTATGTATGTCTCACTATGTTTCTGCATTGCTTTCCTACGTATGATTGCTGCTTATGTATGACTCATTGTGTTTCTGTGTATGTTGCTTATGTATAGCACTGTTTCTGCATACCTTGTTTACATAGCACACATGGTATGGTGCATATGCCCTGAGTTGGGTGACACGCAGTGTGTATGTGTGTAGGGTAGTGATGTGCAAGCCCAACAACTCCTAGTGTTGTTCCTCCAAGTGTGAACATCCACGGCTGTCACAGGAGGTTAAGGTGTTTACACCAACCATCTCATCTCCTGCACCTCCTTGCCAACAAATTATGTACAGTTTCATTAGTTATTAAGAAATGAGTGAATGGTGTAAAATGCCCTTGTAGACAAGAAGAATGATCATCACAAGATCTGTGTAGCACCAGGCTGTATATTGTGAAGAGAAGGGAAGGGCAGTGTTATAGTAAGGCAGGAAGGAGGGTTATGTTGGCATGAATGGTGGGAGAAAGTTGGACCAATGCCAATGATGCACTCTCGACACTGATGCTAATCTTGCCAACAACTTGATATGCATTGATATACCAACAGAGACCATGACATTGCAATACCGTAGTTTACATACATTTATACCCTCATTAAAGTAGTCCAATGGATGCTTGCTCCACGCTGAGCAAGGAGTCTAGTGGATGCTTGCTCCACATTAACCCAGGAGTCCAGTGGATGCTTGCTCCACACTGATGAAGGAGTCCAGTGGATGCTTGCTCTACACTGAGCCAGGAGTCCAGTGGATGCTTGCTCCACACTGAGCCAGGAGTCCAGTGGATGCTTGCTCCACACTGAGCCAGGAGTCCAGTGGATGCTTGCTCTACACTGATGAAGGAGTCCAGTGGATGCTTGCTCCACACTGATGAAGGAGTCCAGTGGATGCTTGCTCCACACTGAGCCAGGAGTCCAGTGGATGATGCTTGCTCCACACTGAGCCAGGAGTCCAGTGGATGCTTGCTCCACACTGAGCCAGGAGTCCAGTGGATGTTTGCTCCACACTGAGCCAGGAGTCCAGTGGATGCTTGCTCCACACTGATGAAGGAGTCCAGTCGATGCTTGCTCTACACTGATGAAGGAGTCCAGTGGATGCTTGCTCCACACTGAGCCAGGAGTCCAGTGGATGCTTGCTCTACACTGATGAAGGAGTCCAGTGGATGCTTGCTCCACACTGAGCCAGGAGTCCAGTGGATGCTTGCTCCACACTGATGAAGGAGTCCAGTGGATGCTTGCTCCACACTGAGCCAGGAGTCCAGTGGATGCTTGCTCTACACTGATGAAGGAGTCCAGTGGATGCTTGCTCCACACTGAGCCAGGAGTCCAGTGGATGCTTGCTCCACACTGAGCCAGGAGTCCAGTGGATGCTTGCTCCACACTGACGAAGGAGTCCAGTGGATGCTTGCTCCACACTGAGCCAGGAGTCCAGTGGATGCTTGCTCCACACTGAGCCAGGAGTCCAGTGGATGCTTGCTCTACACTGATGAAGGAGTCCAGTGGATGCTTGCTCCACACTGAGCCAGGAGTCCAGTGGATGCTTGCTCCACACTGAGCCAGGAGTCCAGTGGATGCTTGCTCCACACTGAGCCAGGAGTCCAGTGGATGCTTGCTCCACACTGAGCCAGGAGTCCAGTGGATGCTTGCTCCACACTGAGCCAGGAGTCCAGTGGATGCTTGCTCCACACTGAGCCAGGAGTCCAGTGGATGCTTGCTCCACACTGATGAAGGAGTCCAGTGGATGTTTGCTCCACACTGAGCCAGGAGTCCAGTGGATGCTTGCTCCACACTGAGCCAGGAGTCCAGTGGATGCTTGCTCCACACTGAGCCAGGAGTCCAGTGGATGCTTGCTCCACACTGATATAGGAGTCCAGTGGATGCTTGCTCCACACTGATGAAGGAGTCCAGTGGATGCTTGCTCCACACTGAGCCAGGAGTCCAGTGGATGCTTGCTCCACACTGAGCCAGGAGTCCAGTGGGTGCTTGCTTCACACACTGAGCCAGGAGTCCAGTGGATGCTTGCTCCACACTGAACGTCCTCAGTTTCATTGACCCACTTGAGATAATTTTATGTCCACATAAAAATCCAGCAGGAATCTACTTAAACACATACAGGTCCATTGGCTATCATGCTGAGAAGCATAAGGGATCTTGCTAACTCACTGAGGTCTGTGCAGAGATTCTAGCTCCCACATTTATTCCAGTACGGTATACATAGAATGGCGAACTAGACCACATCTGGAGGCAACTAAACACGCCTTTTGTCTGCACCCACCACAATTAGAGAATGATTGTGTTTTTTATTCCAAAAGGCCGCAATTTCACAACAGATCAAGTCAAGTTGCCACATCTGGAACAGAGTGTTGGTTTCCCTGTTCTAGCGGTAATTCGTGTATAGTCAAGCATACAAATTGGAAAATTTTGGCACCTTCGCCAATTGACACACCATTTCTTGTAAGTTGCCTGTTTACTCTGTAAGCTGCAACCAACTACTGCTTCAATTCAGGTTATAAATTGTATGTTGACGAGGAGTGGGCTTTATTTATAGACAGGGGTAGCTTTGATCCTGATCTACTGACAGGAAGAGAAGTTACTGCACTTTCATGTATATAGCTGAAGGTGGTGGAACAACTGGTAACTTTTTTAATTCCTACATTTTGATTGTACGTGATGTCGGTCTGTTGCTAATTCTGTAACCATAGTTACCATGTATTTTTTGTACTCGTTGACTGGGGAGGTGGGAGTCAAGGGCAGATAATAAGAATAAATATAGCCCACTGAAGAGATCCAGGCAGAGTAGAAAAACAAAGCTTGGTTGATCACAGCCAACACTGCCGCAGACTATAGGTGATTCCTCTGTTCCTCTATACATTCACAACAAACAAGGCATACGACTCATTCTTGAAAAACATTGCTGGCAGGATTTTCCCAGTAAGTGCATCACATTATATCAACATCACTGGCTCGGGAAAAATTGGAGATTTAATAGGTACCACATAAGGTGTCAATCTGTTTTCAGGAACAGGGATTTACAAGGGAATCTATTCATCCCATGTGTCTTTACATATAAACGTCCCATACTTCACATATGAAACTTTAACAAAGTGCTTCAGCACTGTCATCACCTAAAATAATTTTAATATTTTATGTATTTATAATTGTCTGCATAAGCAAATAATAGTGTCAACGACACCGATTCTGACACAGCATTGTGGAGAGATCTAGCCAGTGCCTGTAAATCAGTGTTGTGTAGTGCAGGTTTATGAGTATCACGCTGTGGATGTCCTACACACTCCATCACTGCCATGAAGCTACACACTTCTCTCTTTTCCTACCATGTTGCTAAAAGCTGATATTTTTCATCTACTGAAATAATAGAAAATGTCAGCACATACATTACCTGTCTACTTGGTTTTGTAGACATGCCTGAATTGTTTTCAAGTACATGAAGGTAAGCTGTTTTCTTGGAGCAGCCATTTGAATTATGATAATCAGATATGGAAATTTTGTATGTTACAAACTAGTGTCCCCACCGTGATATTGCTGGAATATTGCTGAAAGCAGCGTTAAACCATACTTACTACAAATTATTGACGGGATATTTATTGGCAAATTTTGCATATTTCAGGCCAGTACCTACCAGACACTCCGCCACAAGACTACTATGAGCAGCAGTCCTACCAAACAGTGCCAAGCATAAAGACAGAGATCCCATGGTCAACACAAGAGTATGGCCAGGATGTTAGTGAGAGCTGGTCACAAAGTGACCATCGCTCTAGTCTGCCCCCTGTTGGCTTCAGAAACATCCAGTCAGGAGGTTCAGACTCTGGCAGTGTAGACGCAGGGAAACCCATGATCCAGGCAGCAGCACTTGCAGGGTACTCAGGTGAGGTGACAGCGCATATTGCACAGTGCAAAACTAGTTACATATACCATTAGTTCTTAATGGGTTGTGAAGTGTGGTAACATAAGAATAATAAATATTACATTTATAACAATAATAATTATAAATTCATTATTATGAAGTTGAGAGGAAGGAAGTGTGAAATATTTTCTCCTGCAAAATAGTGTTCATTTAGAGATATTACAAAGACATAGACGTGGTATCAGCATAACAGGACCTTGTCAAATTATACAAAAGCTCTTAGTAGAGCTGTGAAAGGTGATGTTATGACATGTAACACAGGACTGAGGCAGGTTGCCATTTGAGTAGGACTACCTACAAGGCTCCACAGTCGAAATGAGTCCACCTCCTACAATACCAATCATGGTGTTGGAGAAATGACATGAGCGTGATCACTTGATGGTCTGGCAATCACTTGATGGTCTGGCAATCACTTGATCGTCTGGCAGTCACTTGATGGTCTGGCAGTCACTTGATGGTCTGGCAATCACTTGATGGTCTGGCAATCACTTGGTGGTCTGGCAGTCACTTGGTGGTCTGGCAGTCACTTGATGGTCTGACAGTCACTTGGTGGTCTGGCAATCACTTGGTGGTCCCGCAATCACTTGATGGTCTGGCAGTCACTTGATGGTCTGGCAGTCACTTGATGGTCTGGCAGTCACTTGGCGGTCTGGCAATCACTTGATGGTCTGGCAATCACTTGATGGTCTGGCAATCACTTGATGGTCTGGCAATCACTTGATGGTCTGGCAATCACTTGATGGTCTGGCAATCACTTGATGGTCAGGCAGTCACTTGATGGTCTGGCATTCACTTGATGGTCTGGCAATCACTTGATGGTCTGGCAATCACTTGATGGTCTGGCAATCACTTGATGGTCTGACAGTCACTTGATGGTCTGACAGTCACTTGGTGGTCTGGCAGTCACTTGATGGTCTGGCAATCACTTGATGGTCTGGCAATCACTTGATGGTCTGGCAATCACTTGATGGTCAGGCAGTCACTTGATGGTCTGGCATTCACTTGATGGTCTGACAGTCACTTGGTGGTCTGGCAGTCACTTGATGGTCTGGCAATCACTTGATGGTCAGGCAGTCACTTGATGGTCTGGCAATCACTTGATGGTCAGGCAGTCACTTGATGGTCTGGCATTCACTTGATGGTCTGGCATTCACTTGGTGGTCTGGCAGTCACTTGGTGGTCTGGCAATGACTGGTCCCTTTTGATGCGTCTCATGTAGTTAAAGAGTAAATTTTGCTTCCTAAAGAATTGTTATCCACCAGGAAGTGAGTATAAATTGGACAGACAAATTAAGTAGTCTGGGTTTGTGGGCAGGAAGAACAGAAATACCATAAAAATGACACTAAAGTCATAAGCTCAAGATGATACGGACGCCAGCCATCCTAATGTCATGCTGTTTACAGGGGAAAAGGTTTTGTAGAGTGAAGATGACATTATGTCATTTTCTGTGACAATTAATGTCACATGTGAAATATAGTGCAGCTAAGTCATTTATGTCTCTCTAGAAGTATACATTATGTCTTTATTTTTAGACAAGTAGCCTTTTGTTTCATAAGTGTACAGTGATAATGAAAATATTTTGTCATTAATACTGTGTGCTAGCACACCTCATATAAGTGCTCCATTTTTATTGACCAATTATTTTTCAGTTTACACTTACATGAAAATTCAAGCAATTATCATGACATTTTGATTGTGGTATAAGGGGGAATAAATATATTGTCATCAAACTATCAGGACACTGTCACATCTACAACATGACATACGTGACAAGTTTATTTTAGACTTTGTGAAGGCAATGTATATAGCTTAGGATCACATACATATTAGAGACATGGAGCCTGACCTGAGGCACAGTTACCTGTAGCAGTGTAGCTTGGCATATTTACATTGGACAAAACTGAAACTTTTCAGCTCGATGATGATGTGTCAGACATAGAAAGTTGTTGGCTGTCAGCATTACATGATAATAATTTGTTTGTGTTTGCAGGAAGTGGCCCCATCCAATTGTGGCAATTTCTGTTGGAGCTTCTCACGGACAAGTCATGCCAGCATTTCATCAGCTGGACTGGAGATGGCTGGGAATTCAAACTGGCAGATCCAGATGAGGTCGCACGGAGGTGGGGAATCCGCAAAAACAAGCCAAAAATGAACTATGAAAAATTAAGTCGTGGTTTGCGCTACTATTATGACAAAAATATCATTCATAAGACGGCAGGAAAGCGCTATGTGTATCGCTTTGTGTGTGACCTACAGAGTCTGCTGGGCTACACACCTGAAGAACTGTTTGAAGCATGTGATATCAAGCCACAGAAGGACAAGGATGATGACTGAAATGGAACACAAAGGTCATTTGTGGCAATTTTGACCTATCAAGGACACTTTGTGATCTCAAGGTCAAGGTTACAGATTTGACTTTGGCAGCAGAATCTGAGAAAGGATGTTGCCAAAAGGCAAAACCACTGTTACCCCAGGTCATTTACTGACATTTGACCTCACAAGGTCAGCCTATTTTTTTTAAATGGCAAATGAGTTTTGAAAGTTTCTGTACAGCTGATGGACTTTGAGTTGGTGATAACTAGATATGTGTATAAAAGAAAGGTTAGCAGCTTTTGCTAGACAGCTGGTTACAACTGCTGTTAAGATGTTATTTGGTGGTTCCATAGATTTACACAGCTGCTTGCACTGTTTGATCCAGGCTGAACCTGAGTACTGAGAACAATGATGGAAAGAAAATACATGTGTCATTACATGATGCCACAATACTTGGAGCACATGTTCCTGTGAAAATGTGCAGCTCACAGAGACACAAACCTTGAAGTGCTGAGCTTACCAAATTTCATCAAATTGACTGAAAGAGATAATAAAGTTTTCCAATATGTAAACAGCCCATGACTGCTAAAGACTTATAAAAGTGCCTGAACCTTGATGTTTGCTTGATTAAACCGCCCAGTGTTACGGTGTGGAGACATCTGGGGAATGGGGGATCTGAAGGTTGTGTGGAGCAGGGCGTGTACAGGCCTGGGGGTGCAGGAACCCTCACCGAGTGCCGTCCAACACCTCGGTCTGGTCAACAGGGTGCTGGTAACACAGCAGACACCTCATGTTGGATTCAGCGTTCAGATCTTCTTATATATTGTGCCAATTGTGGACTTATCTTGGGATCAAATCCAGCTAATTTGTTTGTCCAAGTGCTCTTGTGAAAATAATAAAGTTAATGTCAGTTATATACTGAATAAATGTAGCAATTTATTTTTTGATGTTCAAGAATGATATTTTAATGTTGTGTACTTTTCAGTCTTATCAACAAAATGAATATGTGTATATAAATGACTACAAAGGAACGTGTTGAACAAATATTTTCATACTTAAAAGGTAATGTTGTATTTTTATATTGGTAATTGATCAAAGTTTACTCTTTACAGATTTGATGGCATTCTTTGTTGCCTTATGGATATGTATCCTAACACTTCAGTGAATTTGTGTGAGTGTATTTTGTTATTTGACAATAGTCCTGTTAGGAGGTAATTTGACATGCAGTCATATTTAATTTGACTATTTTTAAGGTGATAGTAGAATATTTTCGCATGATATTCTGAAATTCAGAAGCAAAAAACATCAGCTTCCTAGTTATTTCCATGCTGTTATTATCACAGTATTGAACATGACACAGTAGTCCAATAATGCATTTGTGGAGATGTCTCATTTGGTTTGTGTAGACCGACTGAATGGAGTGTTTTCTACTACTACCTAGTCTCACCCGTGTGTTCTGTTGCCATTCAGATATTTCTTTACTACCTTTATACACTATTTTATATGCTTTATGCAGTGGAAGGCTACCGATACTGAGACCAGTCTTTTATCCCCTTCAACTGTTCCCCTGATGAGCTGTGTCATGTTGAGCGCAGCTACTATCATACCACGCCCATAGATAAAGATAATGAAACATTGGCTGCATGTTTTCATATGTGCTAATATTTTTTTACCTTTTCAAAAATATTCCCATGCATAAACTAAAACTGCAATATGCTACAGGCTGAAGCAAGGCAATATTTTCAAATTTTGCAGTTATATCATATATTTTGATAGCCTTGAATTTATGGTCTTAAATGGTGCTTAAATCATGTTGTTTCACCCCCCCAAATGGGGTGTTTTACGGTGACCTGTATTGTGAGCTGAGATTTCCAAGTGCATTTACTGTTAACATCCCATGTAAACATCATTGTTGTTATTGTTGTTTGCTTTGAAACTCTTATCCAGAGTAGGTTATGTTCTAGTTTTATCAAGTTGTTATTATTGACAGTTTTATATGATTGAGTGAGATTTGGAGGAATTGGTGAATGCCAGTAGAAACTGTAGTAACATGGATTGACAGATGAATGATTTAGGGAATGAATGAATGAATGAATGAATGAATGAATGAATGAATGAATGAATAATATCCAGTGGGGAAATCACATTATGTTTTGAAAAATTGATTTTTTATGGAATTTGTTAACCTCTGGATATCTGTTTTAAAGAAAATGTTAAACATTCATCACATCCAGCCATAACATACGTTTTGACATCAATGTGTTACATTTGATCCCATTACAGTGTCATCAATATGTCATCCCAAATCATTGCTCATCTAAACTTCCAAGCTTGGGTCACATGTCACATCGACAGTGCTGTGAGATTAGAGCTTGGGTCACATGTCACATGTCACATCGGCAGTGCTGTGAGATCGGAGCTTAGAACACATGTCACATCCACAGTGCTGTGAGATCGGAGCTTAGAACACATGTCACATCCACAGTGCTGTGAGATCGGAGCTTGGGTCACATGTCACATCCACAGTGCTGTGAGATCGGAGCTTAGAACACATGTCACATCGGCAGTGCTGTGAGATCGGAGCTTAGAACACATGTCACATCCACAGTGCTGTGAGGTCGGAGCTTAGAACACATGTCACATCCACAGTGCTGTGAGATCGGAGCTTGGGTGTTACAGACATGCCCACCAATATGACTTCAGAGTAACTATTATCTTCACCGTTACAGTCATGTTAGAACCAAAACATTCAAGCTCCATGATGCCATATCATGTTGCAATTGGAGCAAACTTTATAATGGTTCAGTGTTAACATGCTTAAGGCCCTGCAAATTTCAGTTTCTTAATAATTCAATCAATCATGAAAAGGCCAAGCTGTTATATATGACAAAGTTTCTATTTTTTAGACCTAAAACTACTACCAGTATTTTGGTGTTGTCAGGGGGTCGGCATGTCTTGTGTGTCACAAATGTTGTGCGGCAGAGGCTTGGTCACATGTCGCAGTGATGCATTGTGGGGCCTAGATTTAGCTCGCGTCACGTTGATGTGTTGTGGGGCCTGAGTTTAGGTGAAGAGTTGTCAGTCTCACCTTGTATCTTATTATATTTACATGTATTTTGTACCGTGTACGGATCAAGTGACACTGGACCATGTGTGCCTTGTGTCCACTATCACTGCTACTGCTGCCATGTTTTCTATGTTTTTTACCTGTTGTATAGATGTGAATTATTTTTGTGTACCATAATGAGGTCAGCCCCTCATCACTAGCCCAACTCTCTGTATTTAATTTTCTATGTGCATACTAGATTGACTTACACGAACAGAAAAAAAATATGTAATGAAATTAAAATGTTAATTTTGTATGTTGTAAACTGGAGTTAAAACCACCCAGTGAGGATTTCTCTTCATGAGAAGTACAAGGATCCGTTAGGTGTTGGATATTGAAATAAACAATCATACAATCACCTTCATCTTTGTCTTCCTATTCCTGCATAGCGATATATTGTCATGGAGACCTATAGGAGGTGTGAAATACTGGCATGTGAAAATCCACGTTAGAATAGGTCTTCAGCAAACCTTGATTGTCGTAAGAGGCGGTTAACAAGATCGGGTGGTCAGGCTCGCTGACTTGGTTTGAAGCATTTCATCGATCCCAATTGTGTGGGTTGTTACTCATGATATCAATCTCTGGATTGCCGGTCCAGACTCTATTATTCACAGATGCTGAAATATTGCTGAGTGTGGCGTCAAACAACAACAAGTGAAATACAGCCTCCTTTTTGTTGTGATGTCCAACCATGGTATGACGAGCATGGTGTGACACAATAACCGAGCTGCTTGATATGATAAACCTGCTCTATGGTATGACAACCTTCCTGTGTGGTTTGACAACCTTCCTGTATGGTATGGAAATCTTCCTGTATGGTATGACAACCTTCCTGTACGGTATGACTACCCTGCTGTATGGTATGACCACCTTCCTGTATGGTATGACTACCCTGCTGTATGGTATGACCACCTTCCTGTATGGTATGACTACCCTGCTGTATGGTATGACAACCTTCCTGTATGGTATGACTACCCTGCTGTATGGTATGACCACCTTCCTGTATGGTATGACTACCCTGCTGTATGGTATGACAACCTTCCTGTACGGTATGACTACCCTGCTGTATGGTATGACCACCTTCCTGTACGGTATGACTACCCTGCTGTATGGTATGACAACCTTCCTGTATGGTATGACTACCCTGCTGTATGGTATGACCACCTTCCTGTATGGTATGACAACCTTGCTGTATGGTATGACAACCTTCCTGTATGGTATGACAACCCTGCTGTATGGTATGACAACCTTCCTGTATGGTATGACAACCTTGCTGTATGGTATGACAACCTTCCTGTATGGTATGACAACCTTCCTGTACGGTATGACAACCCTCCTGTATGGTATGACTACCCTGCTGTATGGTATGACCACCTTCATCTATGGTATGACTACCCTGCTGTATGGTATGACAACCTTCCTGTATGGTATGACAACCTTCCTGTATGGTATGACAACCTTCCTGTTAGGTATGACAACCTTCCTGTACGGTATGACTACCTTCCCGTATGGTATGACAACCCTCCTGTATGGTATGACAACCTTTCCTTATGGTGTGACCGCCTTCCTGTATGGTATGACAACCTTGCTGTATGGTATGACAACCTTGCTGTATGGTATGACAACCTTTCCTTATGGTGTGACCTCCTTCCTGTGTGGTATGACAACCTTCCTGTATGGTATGACAACCCTCCTGTATGGTATGACAACCTTCCTGTACGGTATGACAACCTTCCTGTTTGGTATGACAACCTTCCTGTACGGTATGACTACCTTCCCGTATGGTATGACAACCCTCCTGTATGGTATGACAACCTTTCCTTATGGTATGACCACCTTCCTGTAACGGTATGACAACCCTCATGTATGGTATGACCACCCTCCTGTATAATATGTCAACCTTCCTGTATGGTATGACAACCGTTCTCTATGGTATGATAACCTTACTGTATGGTATAACAACCTTTCCTTATGGTATGACAACCTTCCTGTATGGTATGACAACCTTTCCTTATGGTGTGACCGCCTTCCTGTATGGTATGACAACCTTCCTGTATGGTATGACAACCTTGCTGTATGGTATGACAACCTTTCCTTATGGTGTGACCGCCTTCCTGTATGGTATGACAACCTTGCTGTATGGTATGACAACCTTGCTGCAAGGTATGACAACCTTCCTGTATAGTATGACAACCTTCCTGTATGGTATGACAACCTTTCCTTATGGTATGATCACCTTTCCTTATGGTATGATCACCTTCCTGTATGGTATGACAACCTTGCTGTATGGTATGACTACCTTCCTGTATGGTATGACAACCTTCCTGTATGGTATGACAACCTTCATGTATGGTATGACTACCTTCCTGTACGGTATGACTACCTTCCCGTATGGTCTGACAACCCTCCTGTATGGTATGACAACCCTCCTGTATGGTGTGACCGCCTTCCTGTATGGTATGACAACCTTGCTGTATGGTATGACAACCTTCCTGTAGGGTATGACAACCTTCCTATATGGTGTGACCGCCTTCCTGTTTGGTATGACAACCTTCCTGTAGGGTATGACAACCTTGCTGTATGGTATGACAACCTTGCTGTAGGGTATGACAACCTTCCTGTAGGGTATGACAACCTTGCTGTATGGTATGACAACCTTTCCTTATGGTATGATTACCTTCCTGTATGGTATGACCACCTTGCTGTATGGTATGAAAACCTTGCTGTATGGTATGACAACCTTCCTGTATGGTATGGCAACCTTTTCTTATGGTATGACAACCTTCATGTATGGTTTGACAACCCTCCTGTATGGTAAGACAACCTTCCTGTATGGTATGACAACCTTCCTGTTTGGTATGACAACCTTGCTGTATGGTATGACAACCCTCCTGTATGGTATGGCAACCTTTCCTTATGGTATGATAACCTTCATGTATGGTATGACTACCTTCCCGTATGGTATGACAACCTTACTGTATGGTATGACAACCTTTCATTATGGTATGACGACCTTCCTGTATGGTAAGACGACCTTCCTGTTTGGTATGACAACCTTGCTGTATGGTATGACAACCTTCCTGTATGGTATGACTACCTTCCCGTATGGTATGACAACCTTACTGTATGGTATGACAACCTTTCCTTATGGTATGACGACCTTCCTGTATGGTAAGACGACCTTCCTGTTTGGTATGACAACCTTTCCTTATGGTATGACAACCTTCCTGTTTGGTATGACAACCTTGCTGTATGGTATGACAACCCTCCTGTATGGTATGGCAACCTTTCCTTATGGTATGACAACCTTCCTGTATGGTATGACAACCTTCCTGTTTGGTATGACAACCTTCCTGTATGGTATGACAACCTTCCTGTTAGGTATGACAACCTTCCTGTATGGTATGACAACCTTCCTGTATGGTATGACAACCTTCCTGTATGGTATGACGACCTTCCTGTATGGTAAGACGACCTTCCTGTTTGGTATGACGACCTTCCTGTTTGGTATGACAACCTTCCTGTATGGTATGACAACCTTTCCTCATGGTATGACACCCTTCATATATGGTATGACAACCTTGCTGTATGGTATGACAACCTTCCTGTATGGTATGGCAACCTTTTCTTATGGTATGACAACCTTCATGTATGGTATGACAACCTTCCTGTATGGTATGACAACCTTCCTGTTTGGTATGACAACCTTCCTGTATGGTATGACAACCTTCCCGTATGGTATGACAACCTTCCTTCTATGGTATGACAACCTTCCTGTATGGTATGACAACCTTTCCTTATGGTATGACAACCTTCCTGTTTGGTATGACAATCTTGCTGTATGGTATGACGACCTTCCTGTATGGTAAGACGACCTTCCTGTACGGTATGACAACCTTCCTGTATGGTATGACAACCTTCCTGTATTGTATGACAACCTTGCTGTATGGTATGACAACCTTCCTGTATGGTATGACAACCTTCCTGTATGGTATGACAACCTTCCTGTATGGTATGACAACCTTCCTGTATGGTATGACAACCTTCCTGTATTGTATGACAACCTTCCTGTATGGTATGACAACCTTCCTGTATGGTATGACAACCTTGCTGTATGGTATGACAACCTTCCTGTATGGTATGACAACCTTCCTGTATGGTATGACAACCTTCCTGTATGGTATGACCACCTTCCTGTATGGTATGACAACCTTCCTGTATGGTATGACAACCTTCCTGTATTGTATGACAACCTTCCTGTATTGTATGACAACCTTCCTGTATGGTATGACAACCTTCCTGTATTGTATGACAACCCTTGTGCGTAATATGATAACCTTCGTGTTTGGTTTGATAACCCTCATGAAATATTTATTTAAACGCACATCTTTCACAAACTCGACTTTAAGAAAAAATATATGATGTTACTTAGAATACGCATCAAAATGCTGTCTTGTGGATCCTAGAATACCATAAGCATCTTTGGAAGTACACTTAGGGCAGATGACCTGATGAACAATGACTAAATGAGTGGGATTGGAAAATTCAATAACATAAACCTTTTCAGTTAGAGGTTTGGTTTAAAGGATATTTTATTTTCTTCAAAATGGATTGGTCAACAGGCGCAAAGCCTATTTGAAGACCTCTCCGATGTAAGCATATTTATATCATGTGTCACAAGACACCATTGGGGTTACATTCGTCATAATTTCATTGACATACATTTGCCACTGCCCATCACTTTACAAAGTAAGACCAAGGTGTTTATGAGACTCAACAGATGGAATCTTAGTGCCACCCATGAAAGATCGGGCATAGGGGTCATAAATATATGACTGAACTTTCCACTGCACAGACGTTAAAGGCTGTTATCCCAAAGTTTTCTATACTCAGCCCATTACTATTTCTTGTCAATATTAATGATCCAGTAGATATTTTTGACACTGTTGTTAGGCTATTTGCAGGCTATACTTCCATATAATAGGTGAGCTAGACACATTTGAGAAGAGCGTTAAATCAGACTTAGCAAAACTTGGCCGAAGTCTGTTTTTTTAATTTTTTTCCAGATAAGACTGCATTAATTATTTTAACCAAAATACTGCCAGCCTAGCATACATATAAAGTATATACAACGGTTCAATGTTAGAACAAGTGAAAATACTGCATGAAAGTCATAAGTCTTGGCATGGTGCTAGTATCGATACAAGAATGTTGGATCCACGTATTGGGGTGTCGTTTATCAGAAAAGGCACAAGAAACGCAAGTGCATTTAGATTTTTATGGTAAGTATTCGGGACTTTGTACCATGGTCGTTTGTTAAGCTGCGTTTTGTCCCATTATATCCATATTTGTTTCAATTTTTGGCCGTTTAACATTAAATTTGGATATAGAATAATGTCACAAACGAGATACTCTCAAATATGCATTGATATTTCAATGAGAAACCTTCCTGAAGTATTTTCATGTAGTGACGTTTATTTTACTCTTCCGTATATATGGCACGTAGATTACGGCACAACCGCAGTATACTATGTGGAGATCTTTCGGGTGTGGTAGCGTAAACGATCTTTCTTGTTCCCGTAATTCCAGAAACCAGTCATCATTTCTTCTTTAAATGTTATGACAATGATGCCATACAAAGTGACTTCATTAATAAATTAAAAACCTTAACAGACACTGTTTCTATAAATATTATTTTAAAGGGAAGTGAGATGTTTGATTTTATTGGCTTATTGTCATCTTCATGCATAATGTTCAGCTGTGATGCTCTATTTGTATATACTATATCTTTTCATTCTGTGTCTAACATGTAATGATTTTGCAATGAAACATTGTATGTAGCGGAGGCGATCGTGTTACGCCTTATGTCTCATATATTTGTATTGTGACAATTTCTTTATACAAGCTATACCCTCTGATCTTGTCTCGTGATGTTTCGAGCCGTGGGGTAATGGCCAAATGAGGACCCCGCGGCATAATGCAATCACGATTACTTTACTGATATATAAATAAATTACAAGTGATTCCGTGGCATTTCATTGGCTAGCCAAGCAATGTTTTTGGCGTTTATATTTCCATAAACCTAAAAGGAGTTAGGCCGCGCCTGCTAACGAACTGCTGTTTCCTGATTGGCTGATAACGGAATGGCCGGGTTTTGTGTAATTACGCTGAACAACGATTTCACTGATTTCATGGTATTGTCTACGGTTGTTTTTTTCTGTTAATAATTAAATCATCAGCCTGGGAAGTTATTATTGTTTACGGATATATATTTATAAGAATTAGCTTTATTCTTTAGGTGCTTATGGAGTTGTGAACGTAAAATTCGGTGTATACACTTTGCGTATGAGGTACAACACTGAAACACAATTGACTAATAATATTAGTTTATAAAATTGTAGTAACAGCCCCAGGCCTCGTCTGTTACTTGTACATAGCTGAAAGAAAATGACTCCGATGTGTTATCAAGACTAAGGGATTTTATGTCGCACCTTGTTCTTTATGCTTGTGCTAGTGCTACCGGTCAATGGTCCAATTCATATAACTGTCACGGCTAGTTTGCCCTTTAGGCCAAATGGAATCTGTTTCGGTGGATGATCTAGATTAGTTATTTTCCTACAAATTGCAATTTTTATATATTAGTTGACCATGCTTGGACGCCATCGTGCCACAGAGATAGTGGAAGGGAAATAACTCAGTATATTACTGGAACACATGAATTCGCAGATGCATACATAAAATATCTAACTTTAGGTAGCAGGTAACAAAAGTTTAATATGCTATTAGTGTCCGAGAATGATCATGATGTTAGATATCTGTACCCATAGAAGTACTACTGCGACATTC